CGCCCAAAGACAGCGAAAAATCTGCATAAATGGCCCTTACCCGTGCTTTCAAATTGACTTTGTACAAAAACAATTGTATTTTTCCAATTTTTGGCACTGTCAGAACCACCGGTGGGTAATTTTATGTAGGCCTGTGAAGTTTTGTTGAAATCGGTTGAAAAATGTAGGAAATCCGATCCCATATATAAACGAACAGACACAAACACACATACACAACCTGGGTTTTATAATAAGTAAGATATATATATACATACATACAATAAAAAATTATAAGAAAAATGAAAACAAATCTTAAAAATACGTTTCTCATTGAAAAAATTTTTTTTTGCAGACAATATTGTCTTTAATATATATTATTCACAAAAGCAATTAAAGGCTTAATTAAATAATGTCTTAGTTTTATTGCATTTTTTATCTTTGGATTCAGAACAGATTTTCAGTAAGACAGGTTCCGATTTTACCAAAACAAATTGGTGATTTAAATTCTTCAAAAAATTCTGCTTTTAACTAATATAGTCACTAAAAATTATCTTGATGAATTTCTCAAGCTTTTGCAAAATTAAGTAAGGAGGGAGAAACACGTGTAAAATAAAAATATTTCTATCAAGATTTTCTAATAAAAAAAGTGACAATTATTTGATTTTTGCAAGAATTTCCAAATTAATGTGTTTGCCGCTGGAAAAAAGAGACAACAATTTGGTATGCTAAAAGTTAGTACAACCACTGGCACAAGAAAACAAATTTTTTAATCAAAATTTTGAATGTTCTAAAAAGGAGTAAAAATTTAATTAGATAATCAAAAAATACTTTGATCATTCATATTAATAATAACAAAGATTTTGCCGATTTAACTATGTTTTCATTATGTTTGGAGCATGTTTTCATCACGGTATGCTGAGTTTTTATCGATCTCATGGAGGTACCTATATTATATATATATATATATATATATAGTGAGAGAAAGAGAAAGAGATGGGTATGTTAAAATCATACATATACTTACAAGTATATTTATATTTTTTTTCAGGTATTATAAAAACAGTGCTCATTGTTTTATAACAGAACTATATTAAGGAATATACATATTATCTTATATCAATATCCCAACTCAGAGTTTCATGCGACTATGCAATCTTCAGGTGCTGGATACTCACTGACCATTAGGCGTTATGAAATTTGCATTCTCATAGTGTTGAATTAAGACTTGTTCACCATAATATATAAATTATTTATTTATGATTTATATCAAAGTCTTAAGTATGAAAGGCAAAAAAAATTTTTTTTTAATTATTTTAAAAAGGAAAAATTTGAATTAATATAAACATGCTATGTATCAATTTTTGCATAAAAAAATGGTGATAATAGAAATAATTGGTGTTTATTAAAATATATTACTAAAGTTTTGGATGCTTTGGTTCACATTATCAGTGATGTTTTTAGCCGAGGTTCATCAGGAGTTTAAGGTCTTTCAATATCATACCCACTCTTCATGGTGACCCAGCTGATACTGATTGGCTATCGACTTGTGTACCTTCCATTAGCTACAATTTTTTTCATCTTTATAACTACATACTGTGCCTTCCCTTGGCAATTTATAGTCCACTTCCAAATAACTTCCAGTTCAACAGCAATGTGCACTCTTCCATAAAAAAATGGAGGCAAATGCACATACAATTTCTATCTGGTCAGAAACTTGGCAGCATGCTTGGCTTGAAGTTGTAAGTAAAGATTTGTTTCCCTCACTGAGACATATACATGTTCTACTTACACTTATTACATTTTGTTCATGTTAATCATTCGCCTGAAGGAGAAAAATTTTTTTAAAAATACCCCCCTTCCTTTTTTCCTTGACCCTTGACCCCCTGTATGAGTCACACACACACACACATATGCACATCAACGCCAACACACTCACACACCAACATACAAAAAATAAATAAATAAAATGAACAGATATATAAAAAAAAAATTAGAAAAAATATATATACTGTAACCCTGGTAGGGATCAAACAGGTGCTAGATCTTAGCCAGAGATCACCTGTAGGTACCAATGTTTCAGGGTACCCCAATTCTGTCCTCTAGTTGAGACTCCATTGTTGGGTGTAGTTTTAGGTAATACCCAAGACCAGCCCCCAAAAAAAAAAAAAAAAAAAGTCTTATGGAATAAACATATCTCTCATGATGTTAACTTAATTATATGTTAGGATGATAGATGTAATGCTTATTAAACCTAGCCTTATACTTACAAAGGTGAAATTATATATACACACATAAATAAAATAATCAAGTACAATCTACAATATATATGGAATTAATATATGTGTATATAGATATATAAAAAGTGCTATTAATGATGGGTGCTATGAATATTAATGGGTACTACATTTTACAAGGTAACCAAAAAAGTTCTGTCCTTTTTGAAAGGAAAAAAGAAAATGCTTCACAGTATGTGTAATTTATATTTAGTCTTCAAAGTAATCGCCATCAGCATCCAGCACCTTCTGCCAACGTGTCTCCAGCTGTTCAATGCCCTTGTAGTAGAACTTGGGGGGGTTTTGACGCAAAGAAGTCCATGAGGGCTTTGTGCAAGTCTGCTTCATTGGTGAAGGATTTCCCATGAAGATGATTATCCAGGGAGTGGAAGAGGTGGTAATCGGATGGCACAAAGTCAGGTGAATAAGGTGGATGGCACAAAGTCTCCCACCCAAGTTGCTGTATGGTATCCCTGACCACTCGCGCGCGGCCTGGCGTTGTCATGGAGGAAAAGCACACCTTTGTGATTAACCATTGCTGGCTCTTTCTGGTGCAATGCCTGTTGCACACATTTCAATTGCTGTGAGTATAGGTCTCCAGTGACCGTTTGGCCCGTTGGTAGAAGTTCATAACGAACCACTTGACAACCTGCCCACCAGACACAAAGCATGATCTTGTGTCGGTGCATAGACAGTCTTGCGGTGTGAGGGACAGCATCCTGAGGAGACAACCAATGTCTGGAACGCTTGGGAGTTTCATACAGAACCCACTTTTCATCACTGGTAAGCACTCGATTGAATAAGGATGCGATATGGTGGCAAGAAAGCAGCGATACGCAGACTGCCACTCGTTGTCCCTTGTGGACCTCCAACAGCATTTGTGGAACCCACTTGCACAGTTTGTACGTCTTACCTAGGCAGTGCAGGTGAAGTCTGTTTCATCAGAAACGTTGATCTGTCTTGCAAGTTCACCACACGTTAGACTACTGTCCTCTTCAATGGCCGCCTTCAGGACTCTGTCATTCAAGACCTGTGGTCGTCCACTGCAAGGCTCATCATGGAGAGACAAATCTCCCGACTTGAATTTTCAAAACCAACGCCTTGCAGTACATTCATCCACAGCACTATCCCCAAATGCTTGACATATGTGGTGACTTGATGCAGCTGCTGATAAGCCCACTTTGAAGTCGTAAGGCAAACAGCCCCGAACGAGATCTCTAGACACTTCCATCCTTTTCACAGCTCTCCGGCTCATAACTGATGGCCGGGCACGGTGCACATGTTTTTTATAACATCTGATGTTTCTACTTCTGGCTGTCCGAATTTGAAAACAATTGCTACACGCATTTCGTATATATTTCAACTTCATTCAATGACTAATCAAAAAACGGACAGAACTTTTTTGGTTACCTTGTATATTAACAAGGCCTATATACATATATAATTCCATATCAAACGTGTAATAAATTTTATGTTAGATAGATTGTTTTCACTTGAAGTTGTGATCAAATTAGTAGGTACTATAATGTATCTTGTTTCATTAAGTTTGTTTGTATCATTTATTCTTTCATCAAATTTTCAAAAATAAAATGGATTATGCAAACAAACTCAACAAAACAAGATACATTACACTAGCTACCAACTCTAGATTTTTTAAAATTGAAAAGAAATTATCTAAGCTCAAAATTTGTTTCAAGTACTTCTAAAACAATAAGAGACTGGATACAAAACAAAATAACCTAAAACCTGAAGCAGACACTGTCTTGATTGCCACAAAGAATACATAGGAGAAACCTCAAGGAATTTAAATAAAAGATTATATGAACACAAAAGATCTTTTGCAAAACATTACACTAAGTACATTAGTCAATAACTGTAATGAGTGACCATAATTTCAATAAAAAATGCTACTTTAATTACAAGCAATTAAGGTGAAAATGCATAGTGTGTTCTGATTGCTAAATCATCCATGATAATTTGTGTCTTACAACATTTCACCTATCTTGGCAGATCTTCTGTTATCACAATGTGGGATTTGTAATAACAAGAATGAAAAACATAGGGAAAGTGCTAGACTGTGTTAGACAAAAAAAAAAAAAAAAACAAGAAAAAAATCTCCAACATTTTAAATTCAGTGTTCCCACCTTAAGCGTTTACATAACTATAACCAAGACTTGAGTTTATATCTCTCCCTCCTACATACATATATATATATATATATATATATATATATATATATATATATATATATATATATATAAAAAAGTGGTTGTTTGTCTTTTCAAACTCCACATCGGGGTTGAAAGACAACCACTCGTATCATCTGCCAAAATAGTCTATTCCCCACATGTGGTAAAAAGAAATTTTTCTGATTATTCATCATATTGCTCTGTACAAATAAAATACATTGAGCTCTCTTTTTGTGGATCAATTTTTAATATTTTTATATTACTAGGACCCACTTGGATTATACACCCATGGAATTTATTTTACCTTTTATTTATATATCACACGCACATATACAAACACACACAAAGTTTTGCTAACTTAAACTGACAAAGTCTGTGTTTAATTTATTTATTGTATTTTCAAAAAAGCATCAAAATTGTGGATAAACTGTCCAAAGTTCCTGTTTTTGTCTTAGTCATTTTAGTGTTTCATTATTGGGCCAATTACTGAAGAAAATCAAGAAAAGATATCAAGATTTACTAATGAGTTTGTATGAATAAAAACAGAAAATATACTTACACGTTTCCAGAATACTCGGATTAGGAAGAACTGAAAGAGGAGAAAGCCAACGCTGAGGCCGGCCAGCAGTTTGAGTAACCGAGGCTTTCTCATTAGATTGTTTTAGATCAATAGGAGTTGTAGCACACAGGCAAAAAAACAGTGTCTATCACATTTTTGCCCCCTCTTATTTTTTTTTTAAAGATTCTGTATCACACTATCTGAAAAAAAAAAAAAAAAAAAAAAGTTGAAAGTCAGGCATAATACTAAAATATATCATGATATATAATGGGACATTTAAGTGGGAGAGAAAAGAATTGGGAGAAATGTCATAAAACTGACTCATTCATGAGATCACTGACTGAACCAGTGAAATTCATTGATGTGTTTTCTTATGGATTATCAACCCTTTGTGAGTTATTTAAAGCCAAAACATTTTAAGAATAATTATATTTTTGTGAGTGAATATTGCATTAATTATTTTGAGAATAAGATTTTTCCAGATACAGCTTCTACTATTTAACTCATAGCCGGGGGAAGGAGATGGATTTATATCTTTCCCAAAGGTATTTGCACATAAGTGAATGTAACAAACTAAACTGGAATTTGAACTTGGCTCTTCAATTTCTTATTGCAAGCCATTATCCATTACACCACCCATACATCGAAACCTGTGAGAAGAAAGTAAACTGATTTTATGACTTGAAAAATAAGGAAGACTTCTTTGTAATGTAACCTACTTGAAATATTTCATCTATGTAAATAAAATATGTTAATTGAGAAATAATAAGAAAGAAAACAAACTAAAAAGAGAACCAGAGTTGTAGTATTGTAGTTGGAAGCAATTAAGTGGTCATTTGAGTTGGAGTCGGTAAAACTGTACCAACTCTGACCGCAGTTGAATTTATACTTTATAATGTAAAAAGTTTTGCCTTATAGAACCTTTGTTATTTCTTTGACCGTATATTTACTATTTCCTTTAAAGAAATTCATCTCAACTTCTTTTTTTAAAGTCATTTTAATTTTTGTAGTTATTTTGTATTTGCAAAACCATATATGTAATAAAATCTTACTTTATAGAATTTTTATTATGTCTTTTACACACTGTAAAAGATTATATTTCAACGTCCTGTACTTATTTCTTATTTGCAAAGATATATATATATATCTTACTTATTATAAAATGCAGATTGTGTGTGTGTGCGTGTGTGTGTGTGTGTCTGTCTGTAACGTTTATATATTCGATCGGATTTCCTACATTTTTCAACCGATTTCAACAAAACTTCACAGGACTACATAAAATTACCTTGTGGTGGTTCTAACAGCGCCAAAAATGGGAAAAATATAATTGTTTTTGCACAAAATCAATTTGAAAACACGATTAAGAGACATCGTGAAAATGGAAGGGGGACAACTCACATCGGATTTCCTATATTTTTCAGCCGATAAAACAAAACTTCACTTTTTTTCTTTGGCAGGTACTGTTTCTTATTCTCTTGCACACTTTTTTCTTTATTTTTAACATTCAGAATGCTTTAAAAATTCCATTTACAAGACAATTATTTATAATAAAATTCTATTCAATTGGGAGACTCATAACGATTGAAAACAATGTTTTTGTTTGAGTTTGGGTTTGACCAATTCATAAAAAAAAAAAAACAATAAAACTAATTAAGACATGCATGTCCGTCAACCTTAAACAATAATCTTTGTCAATTTTATTTTTCAGTCTTTATGATGGTGGATACTTGATCTATCTCTTACTGTTATATCCCGGCAATGCCGGCTCTACTAGTATCTCTCTCTCATATATATATATATATATATATATATATATATATATATATATATATATATATATATATATATATATATATATATATATATATATATATATATATGTGTGTATGTGTATGTATGTATGTATGTAAAATGTCTTACATTATAGCATTTTTATTTTTATCATTTCTTTTATATCCTTTCAAAGATTTTAACTCTAATTCTGTTAGAAAATATTGGAGAATGAATAGGTATGATATAAAAGCCACAATATCTTTATTCTTTGATATAAATCAGTTATATAGGCCTGCTCAAGTTAGGAATGAATACATTGGCTTTATCAGATTTGTAGGCTATAATCACTAAATTACATAAAGAGGAGTCGGAGGTGCCAAAAATAGAGTTAAAGCCAAAGGTTTTGTGTTCCAACTCCACAGCTCTGGGGAGAATAAAGACAAGACACTGTGCTGGCCTACAGACTTTTGGTGGGTTCTGTTAACGGAAAGGGAGTTTCCTAAAGAGGAGGTTTTTAAAAAAGACAACAAAAACAGACAAAACTTTGGGTATATGCAAAAGTTCCAGGCACTGTCATCTCTAGATGTGGAGCAGAGACTTTTGTTGACTAAAAGCATGATTTAATTTTTTTACAGGTTCTGCCAAAAAACAATTTTATATGGTTCTGGTGGATGACTTAACAATTTGGCTTTGCAGACTCACCAATCACCATCAAATAATGTTGTAGAGGTTACAAGCAGACAAAGGTGGTAATTGAGTGAAAGGAACAGCAATACAGGCATAGAAAGAAAGAGAGGTTTATTGTAAAAGAGAAAACACTACTGAAAGACAGGGAATCAGTGAGCAAGCTAGTAATTCCCAAAGCAAGTCTATTTACTTTACCTCCCTGCGAGGCAGAATGTAGCACAAGGCCGATTTTTAATGCAGGCCAAAACCACCCCAGATGAGATTCTGCCCTTCAGCATAGCCTCATCTGGGTTCCTCTCTGCCTGAAGGCAGAGAATTCAACCAGAACAGCTGGAGATGAATCTCCAACTAATTCCTGAAGCAAGTTCACCCTGTTCACACTATATATATATATATTGATATAGTCAGTCCATAATAGGCAATAGGGAGAGTGGGACATTCCATTACAACAAATAATAATAATATCAAGCTAGATAGATAAACAAGTTTCTTCTCAGAAGATAGGGGCTCTTCAGAATTTGTTGATTTACCATACATCAAACTACACGGTATACATACAATGGTATGGATTCTTGTTGAAATTATTCTTTTATTTTTTTGTGAGATCATTTTCAACTCTTTCCTTGTTCAATAAAGAATTTTCTACTTAAAATGAAGATTTGCAATAAATACCATTCATTTCTTGATGACAAGTTTTGTACAAGACAGAATAAACATTGCTTTTTGTTTACATCCTCTCAATCTTTCTGCCCTTCTGTCTAAATTGTTCGCATATGATCAAAGTTAACATCAAGCCTGGTCATTACCTTAATGGGTGACTGTAGGTGCTGTAAGCTTGGCTGTGCAGTTGGTGTACTGGATAATGGCTCAAAATTGTTAATCAGAGAGCAGAGTTCCAGTTCAATCCACTGATGCACCTGGACTCTCCGACTTCAGTGTCACACTGGGTGCAAAGTTTATTTTGGCATCATCTGGGTTCACTCATATAATATACTTTGTTTCATATGTAAAAGATGTAAGAAATATGGAACAAAATTTGGCAGTATCAGAATGTTTTTAGTCTGTATATTTACCACCAATTTTTTTTTCTGTTGGCTATCATTTTTGCTTTACCCCAGGAGATAAATAGGACAGACCTTCCCCTCTTTTTATCCAAATTCTACAGCTGAAGATTACTACTGAATGGAACTGCTGAGATATTGTAAAATCAACAAACCCAATCGGATCCACAGTCCAGATAACTCATCTCAAAATTACAGACGATAGCCTCATGATGTTTGGGTGGCTCATAATTTAATGGATTGCATTTTCATCGACAATTTTCTGCTCAAACAACAAAAACCCATTTTTAAAAGAATGAGCACAATTGATATAAAATGGATTGAAAAATACCATAGTGAAAATGAAATGAGCTACTATTAACCGCTACAAATGTTGGTCTTCATCTGAAGGTGATACTGTGTATCTGGTGAGATTGGAACTGCATTGCATATTATGAGCTCCTACTGAAAAGCAGACATTGAATTCAGACAAGTACTGTTCCCATTTGGATGGTTGAAAAGGCAGTCATCGATGAAAAATGTTCAGAATTGACCAATTAGAATGGCACTGTCTTTCAGCAGAGCATTGCCAGATTTCGTGTTGTCTTACTGAATTGGCAGAAATTGATACAGCTTGTCTACTCAGCTGACCATCAAATTACCACTTATTTTGAACCCTACAAAATTCTCTTAATGACAAGAATTCCAATTTTCTAGAACTGTGTAAAAAAACACTTAAGTTCATTCACCAGAAAGATGTCAAGTTCTTGCAGGATAGAAACGTAGGAATGAAAGTTGCCTCAAAGATGGTAAAAGGTTGTGATGCAAAATGTGACATATTCGGTTGAATGAATCTATTTGTAAATATCTAAATATTGTCTTTGAAATTTATTATGAGTTTTGTTTCAATCCAATAAATATATTTGACTTCTGTAAACATTTGTGAAGGTTTTTTGTTATATTTAATCATATTTAAAATTAAGGAGTTGAGTATGATTACAGTTTTTATGATTGGCTAAAAATAAAATGAATTAAAACTCGTGTGTGCAAAAACTGATTTTTATGCAAGAGCAGGAATTAGTTAATATGCTAGTATTTGCCTTGAAATTCATTCTTTTTATTTGAAAAGTTGATTTTTGAAATTAGATTATTTGGAAAAAATTTTTCTAGGTATAGTTAGTAGTTTTTGTAGGTAGCACCACAATTGCTTTAAGTTTTCCTTTTTGTTCCCCTATATATTTAGAAAGTGCAGTATTGTTAATATATCTTTTTTATCAAAGATATTTTATGATTAGAAACCTTTCTTCTTGTTTTAAAGTTGTTTTTTTTTTCTGCTGCACCTATATAGATTTTTTCTTATGCATTGTTTCTTACTGTAACTTTTTATATATATTATTGATTAAGCTTTTATTTTTAAGAGGGTATTCTTTGTCCCCATTAGCCTCATTTATTCATCTTCCCTCAAGAAACATTAGTCCTTCAGAAGTCATCACAAGGTAAGAGATATGATACTAAATTATACACCTGCATGCCAACAAAAAGACTCACTCAGTTTTGTTTTTGAAACAAAGAAAGTAAAGACAGTAGTCAAGAGATGATAGAAGACATAGCATCAATTTATAATCTTCTTACTGAATTCTAAAGAAATGTGAAACAATTTTTGTTTTCCACAAGAATTTTTTCATTCAGTCTTCTAGCTAGGACAAGAAAAAAACCTTGTTTAGTATGCATTTATTGCAGCAGGTGACAAATAGTTAAAAAGTATTTACTGCCAAGGCAAATAATTTTACTATACTTAAGCTAAGCACAAGTTTGCTTGTGGACTTTCTGGAGTGACAAGTGCGCTCATCATAGGATTTGTCCCAGTTTGAAGTTCATGACCCAAATTCACAACAGCCAAGCATTTTGTTGCAACTGAAAGCTTGATTGTGAAAATACGAGGATTATGTTTACAGTGGTTCATGCAAATTTAAAAACAAGTCTACTTCTTTTTGAAAACATACAAAGTTAAGAAAACCATTTATCTTTCTGAATGTGAACCCTTGCATGATCTTTGACCAACAGTAATTTTATTTAAGGTAGAGTTATTTTTTTCCAACTATGAACCTACACATACAGATGAACTTCAAACAGTTAGACACAACCAAATATGAATTTCTGTTCAATTTTGCTGATCACACCATATGCGGAAATAGTAGAAAAATGAAAGTTTTTGTTCTGCTTCAATGTTGTTAGATGTAAATAAATTGTAACAGAGAGTTGTTACCACTTTGTAATGGACAAGGTTGTTGTTTTTCAAAATAAATGAACACATAGATAATTGGTAGAACTCAGATACAATGAAGGAAAACATTTCTGTGATTAGCAGTAGCATGTGTGAGTGCACCACATGGTGACATGAAATTTTATATTACCAATTGCTTAATGCTGCTAGGTAGTGTAGCAAAGTCCATTAATAGAAAAGGTGGGGGCAATCCTAAAAATTTATTTTGTCTATGTAATCACAATTAAAGTCTCATTTATATTGTTCTCCCAAACACATTTAGCCAGGGTTTCTTCAGCTAGTAACACTTGTCAGTAACAGATACTTTATCTTCCAGTGTTGGATTTTGTAAATCCTGGAAATTTCAAACTTTATTCTGTTCCTATTTGGAATATGACAGACACCTGAAGAAAGTTGGAGGGTACAACACTGTGATTATAATAATACCAATTACCAATTTGATGAGAACATTAGTCAGTCTTGGAATAGATTAAAAAGTGCTTCAACAAAAGGCATGAGTGTTTTACAACTAAGGCAAATTATTTAATTAAGTTCAATTTTACTTGTCTTGTTATTCTATAGGTCTAGAAGAATGGTATTTATTCGCTCCTCCCACCCCACGTAGACAAACAAAAGTTCGAGTTTAAAATTGGAGACCTTCATGCTTTACATGTAGATAGAGAAAAAAGCTACCTAGTTCCCTTGTCACTCCATTTTGGGTCACTTTACAGCAGGGATTGATCCTGATCTTCTTACCTCCTCATGAGGAAGTGCAACCCGAGGAGGAAACCACCCACCATCACTACCATACACACACACACACACATAAAATTAAACAGTTTCGGATGGATGGATGCAGACCTGTAACCAAGCAGACGAAATTCACAATTGAATGAAAAGTATTTCGAGCATAGTTCAATTCAGCATTTCAAATGATGTCTACATAAACACACACTAATTTGTTTCCCTTATCGCACATAATTTTATATTGTTTTAAAATTCTTTTCGATATGAAAATCTATGCGTCTGAAATAAAACGAAAAATACCGCCATCAGAAATGCATTTTTTTTACAACTATTTTTTTTTCTGTAAGTTTAAAAAAAAAAAAAGAAAGAAATTTTATTTATTATTTTCTCATTGTTAAAAAGAAAGAAATAACTAAGTAAAAAAAAAAAAAAAGAAAAAAGTGGTACCAAGACGAAATAAAACGAAAAAACACCGTCAGTAATAATGCGATTTATTTTGTTAAAAATGTTAACTATTAGTCAGTATTTTTTTTGTTTTTCGTTTCTTATTTGAGGAAAAAAACAAAATTTCTTGAGTCATTAAAAAAAAAAAAAAAAACATGTCTTTTTGGACGAAGCATCATTAAGAAAATCAAATTTTGATGAAAAACTAGAATTTGAAAAAAAAAAAAAAAAAAAAATTAACCTGCTTTTTTTATTTTTGTTTTAAATTCTTAAAAAATTTTAGTCATGAATGCTGAATTAAAAGTTTTTTTTTTTTACTCACGAAAAAATAGTTGAAATAAATTATTATAAGTAATTTTAGAAATATTTTCATTTCGAATGCATTATAGTCATAATATGAGTCTCGTTCAAGAAGTTTACGTCCGCTGTAATGAGATTAAAAAAAAAAAAAAAAAAAATCAGCATTTGGTATGTAAAAAAATAATTGAAACGTTAAAATGAACTATACTACACGTTTTTCTTCCCTTTTTCTCTGATAGGAACCAAAATCATAATAAATCTTCATTTCAATTTGATCTGGATATTTTTTATTTGGAGACGAGAATTTAGAAATGAAAAAGATTGAAAAAAGGGATTCAAATTTTGCTTAAAAATTGAATCAAATCTTTCCTAATTTCCCACCAAAATTATAGAATATACAAAAATTATTTTAAAAAAATTATATTCAACAGAAAAATATTTTTAAAAAATTATATTTAAAAGAAAAAATATAGAAAAATTATATTTTAAAAAAAATAATTAAAAGAAAAATATAGAAAATGATGTTTAAAAAATATTTAGTTATATTTTTTAAATTTTTCTAAAAAATAATATCATTATTTTAATATTTTTCTTTTAAATTAAAAGGAAAATATAGAAAAATTATATTTTAAAAAAAATATTTAAAAGAAAAAATATAGGAAAATGATTTTAAAAAATATTTAAGTTATTTTTTAAATAAAATTTTTCTATATTTTTCTTTTTAATTATTTTAAAAATATCATTTTCTATATTTTTTTTTAAATTAAAAAAGGAAAATATAGAAAAATTATATTTTAAAAAAATATTTAAAAAGAAAATATAGAAAATTTTTTTAAAAATATTTAAAAGAAAAAATAAAAAAATAAAAATTAAGATATTTAAAAGAAAAAGAAAAATTTAAAAAATATTTAAAAGAAAAAGAAAAATTAAAAAATATTTAAAAGAAAAAGAAAAATTAAAAAATATTTAAAAGAAAAATTATATTTTTAAAAAAATTATTTAAAAGAAAAATCCAGAAAAAAATATAGAAAAATTAAGAAATAATTCTATTTTTTTGTCGAATATCTGCGTTTTTGTTTTGTTGTTTATGTCGTGAATAGAAATAATGTCGATGTAGGACGACGTTTTTGAATTGACAAGCGAATGTTTTCATTCATTTTTCTATTTTTCTTTAAGGAAAATGAAATAACAATTACGACAATTATTTATTTGGCATCTATAAGATAAAATTTATTATTAGTTTATGTTATTATCAAGTTTCTGTTTATCTTTTTCTACTTAAATGTTTTAAAAAAATTAAAAATGTCTTAATTTCTGTCGACATTACAAATTTATATTACAAGTTTTTGCAAAAAATTTGTAATTTTTGGTTCCCAAGTCAATACGTCGTTTCTTTATAAGTAAATATTTTTTTTAAATCTTTAAAAAAGATTTATTTCAGCATTTTTCTCTTTTGCTCTTAGTCTTTTAAAATAAAACATCAAGTTTGGAAATCAAGAGAATTGAAATTTTTATAAACAAAACAATTCTTCTTGCCACCTTAAAAAGACGTTAATATTTATTTACAATCATTTACCTGCTCTCGGTAGATATTCATCAATTCTACTTGCTGTAAAACCCCAAAATCATTTGGTAAATATACAATTGGGGCCTGGTTTCTCCGTTTGAATTGATTACAACCCCAACTTGGCCGGGTAGGAAAAAAAATGAGGGTCGGGGAGACAACTTGTCTTTGAAAATCTTTTGGAATCTTTCTTGGCGCGCTCTCCTCTCTTTTTACAAACTTGCATTTCCCATCATCAACCAAGAAAAGGATTTACAATTGTATAAAAACATTTATTTAATTTTATTCGAGTCTTTTAATGAAACACAACAAAAAATGGTCACTATTGGTCCACTCATAAAAAATAGGGAAATTTTTTTAGGAAATACTTTTTTTGTAGATTATTAAAAAAAAAATAAGCCTTCCTTTGACAGCAACATTTGTCAGAATCGAAAGATATTGATTTTTATCGATTTATAATGGGTTTTTGTTTAAATATCAATATAGTTTAAAATCGATCCTTGGTTTTTACAGAGTTATTGGCCTTAGTTGTTTTGCGTACAAATTTTTTTGAGGTGGGTTTAAAAAAAAAAGATTTCTCTCAACTGAAATAACGAACAAACGGATATAAAATTTTAACTAAGCAAAGAATAAGACTTTACATTGATTAATAAAATTATGTAACTGTTTATTCTTAATTTAAAATAAATGTTTGTGCATGTTGGGTGTGCAGGTGGTGTTGGTTAAAGAAAGAACAAGAAATCGACGAGCCCAGTTCGAATTCCAGTTGAAATCGTTATATTCACACAAATACTCTTGGGAAAAGTATGAATCAGTCTATTCTCTACTCAGCTATGAGTTAAATAGTAAGGTGGACTTGACTCTCTAGCTGTGGTTGGCAATGAGTAATGGACAACTCTGAATTAAAAACCATATATTGGGGGTACATACTAACGTACACTCAACATAGATACAGTTGATTCTGTGGGTGTTAAAGAAACACAAATAGGCCTGAGCAGACAGGAAGGTGTAGTGGACCATTATGTTGACTATGGCTTTCCTTTGCAATATTATGTTGCCGGTCACCATTATGTAGAGGACCCAGGGGTGAAGATGTAAAGAAAACATGTGCGTTTATATTTCCTGCTAAAGTGTCCAGCTACAATAGAATGTTGGACTTGGATTAAGTTCAACTGAAGATAAGGAAGACAAACAAACAAGACCGATATATGTAAACAAATATATGTATTAAACAAAACATTTACAAAACACATAAAACATTTGTGTGTGTGAGTGTGAATGTTCGTATTTTGGTGAATGCATGTGAAGAGTTTGTATTGTGGTAAATATTCATATGTATGTGTATGTTGGTAATGTTCTTTAATGTCTGACTACAAGGTCAAGACAATAATTCTCTGGGACTACATTTTGCAACAAGAATAGAGAAGAAAGAGAGGAAGAGGCAAACTCGTGTTTGTTTTTATAGATAACGTAATCACGTGACAGGATCAGAGCACCTTGGCGGGAAACTTGACTTAGTTACGTGCTGAAAAAATATATTGTGCATGGGTGGATTGCAACACCCACTTGTGTGTTTATTGACCAATTAGAAGCTGACATTTCCTGAAAAATATTTACTAAGCTAAAGTGCACAAAATCGACTACATGAAAGTATAGCGATTATAGCTGCGATTTATAAATTGTCTATTACAAAGTAGTGTTGATTTATTATCCAATGAATGCTTGTTGTTGTATAATTTGAATTTTGTGTAAGTATGCATGTATGCGTGTGATGATGATGATCATTACAAAGGTTTGAAAACAAGCACCCATGCTAAAGATGAGAAAACACATTGATTTACAGTACACCGTGTGCAAAACAACTCTGATGGTTTTTTTTTTGTGTATGTGCTTCTGAAAACATCCCATGCAAAAAAAGTAAAATATTCAGAAAATTAAAAAATATGCAGATAACAATGTTAGCACATTTTCAGACTTGGCATTTGTAAATAAAAGCAAAGTGACTTGGTCTGTAAAAACAGGGTATCAATTTGACTCTATTGATATTATAAAATTTAAAATGATAAGCAGGACCCCACCCTTCTAAAATGATAACAAATCAATATTTTTCAATTTGAACAAATGTTACGACTTAAGAAAGCTCTAAAGAACACTTGTCTACAAAGATTATTTCCTGAAAATATTTTCTCTATTATTTATGAGTGAACCAATTTAGTTAACTAATGCCAAAAAATGTTCCTTTCAAAATTACAGATACCAAAAATACATAGATATTGATTACCTTTTTCATGTGCCAAGAAGAACTTATAAAAAAAATCCCAAACTGACAGGTATTAAATTTTTTTTAAAATTGAGGAAGTATATGAAATATATAGGTTACTTCCCCTTGGTTGGTAAGATCCCTAGTAGGTAGAGATGAATCCTTTTATCTGGTAATAATGGGTAAGATCCAAATTTAGGAGCCAAATGGATTTGAGCACTAAAGGAGAGAGGCCTGAAGACCACTGAGGTGGAAGGACTCGTTTTAGCCTACTCCAAAGAACAGACAATGCTGGCTACGAGCAAAACTGAATAGACATGTTACCTTGTCAAGCAGACATCGGAAGAAGAGATATAATAAATTTCAGATAAGTGTCTATAACCATTTTAAACAGATTCATGTATTATTCTTTGTCCATGATGAAATGACATTAACTGGTAAAGAAATATGTTTAGCAATTCCATCTTCTCTTTCTCCATGTATAAATATATTATTTATATAAAAGTATGTTTTTAAACTTTTCATTTGTCTTGTCCTTCATTCTTCTGTTTATGACTCAACCTTTACTAATGTGAAGAGTGAACTTGCTTCGTATTTGTCAGCTTATCCAATTGTGGTTCAATTCAGGACAGTGTCACCTAAAGTGGAGGCTGGATATGCATACAATTCCTGTATTTTGTCTTAAAGACAATCATTATTGAGAAGCCAGTCTCACTGAGGTCAGTTGAATGAAAAGGGAGAAAAGTTTTGATAGCAATTCCACTAAGCTTGGGATATTCTGCTTTCACTTTTTCCAAAAGGAAGCAATGTCATGTTGAAGTTTCAAAACTTATCTTCAATCCTTCATCAGCAGCCAGCTCCAACAATTTATCCTCCATAGTGACACTTAAGACAGTCATCTCTCAGTGGTATAAATGTATTTCTATTCCATCCATTCCATGGATCTTGTTCTGATGGAAAGGAATTTAGGAAAATTCAGAAATGGAAGATTTGATAATTTTAACAAGGTAGGAAAATTTGGTAACTATGAAATAAAAGTCAATTGAAAATTGATTTTATGGCCGTTCTGTATTTTTAAGTAACTGAAAATCATGGGGTCCACATTAAACTTCATTACATTACCAGGGCTGTACTTGCAGAAGGTGTGCTTAGGGGGCTAGGCCTCTTTCTCCAACATTTTTTGAAAAGTATTATTAAATATGGGGGTCTAGATAAAACTCCACTACAACAATATCAGGACCTTACTTTCTGGAAGGGGCTATCCCCCATCCTACGTTTAAAAAGTATGAACTAAAAAAAAAATCATGGGTTCCAGTTCAGATAAAACCCAACCGCAACAATACCAGGGCCGTACTTTCTGGATTTTTTAAATAAGTATTTAATTACTATACTCTATTGTTTTCAAGCAAATAAAATCAATTTATCTAAGTTAAATTTAAGTTCTTGTATATTCTTTGCAAATTATTATTTTAATAAAAAAGTAGTAAATAAATTAAGTTTTAGATAGTTATTTTTTTTTAAAGAAGCAAAAACTACATAGCTTCATTTCTATTTCAAAAATATAAGGAAGGGGAGACTTAGCCCCCAAATCTCCACTCCAGGACAGCCCTAAAATCAATTTTCAATCAACTTATTTTATAGTTACCAAATTTTCCTACCTCATCAAAATTACTAAACCTGCCAGGCACCACTGGAAAGTAATGCTAAAAATGATCTGCCAAATGATATGGTATGCTCATGTTTTAGCAAATCTGTGGAGGTACCTACTTTTTATATAAGGATTATTTTATTCAAATTTAAATTCTAGGTAGAAATATAAATGCTGACTAGCCTCCTAAAAAGAATAAAAATTACACTTTTATATGCTGAAGTGATGTGAAAGGTTTTAAAGCAAAAGGATCTATGAAAGAATTTTCTTTCAGTTTATCAATGAAATCTGAGTGAAGTCTTCTTTGAGACTATAAAAGGAAAATGTGACAATTCCAATATAGGAAAATCTTTTTTATTACTTTTAGATTTTATGGGATTGTATTTCCCCACACACCCTTTATATTTTTATCCTTTCTTTCACTATCAACTCATTCATTTTCACTGAATACTTCTATGTAAAACACACACACACACACAAACATGTAAAATCAAAATTAAAGGACTGGTACCAACCAAAGTCTAGGACTTCTCAGATGGATGGGAAAACTTTGGTCTCAAGCTTGAACTCAAGAATCTATAAAAAGTAAAGTTAAAAGGACAAATATTTCAAAGAAGAGAATTTATTAACCAGTTTTTTTTTTAGCTATTTTCTATTGATTTTAATTTTTACTTTTAATTCTTTTTTACAAAATATCTTTATTAAAATTTTTCTTAACTTTTATGCAACAACAGCAAAAGAAAAAATTTGTTAAAATTTTATTTTTTTTATTGAGTATTTTAAAGGAATATTTTGCTTATTGGAAATATTAAATGTATTAGCTTGAAATTAAAATAAAAGCTTCAAGATTTTCCATTTTTAAAAGTTCATACCTTTGGTATTACATTTCTGTGGAGATACAAACTTGTTATATTATTCATTTACTTATTTAGAATTAGCGTTTCTTTAAGAAAGTATATCGACTGTAATTAAATACTAGTTTTATTGTATTATTTTTTCATATTTAGGATTCCAAAACATTTCTTTAATGAATCCTAATTCAAAAATAATATATTTATGCAATCCTAACTAAAAGTAAATGAAATACCGTAATTACAAGGTAACCTTTATTCATAAAAATACAGT